TGCTGGAACCTGTGCTGGAGGCAGTGTGGGGGCTGGAGCTGCCGCCGTGGGCGCTGGTACAGGGGCTGGAACCTCTGCTGGAGTGGGGGCTGCTGGTGTAGGAGCCTCAGCCACTGGCGCGGAAGGCTGCGTGGCCAGTATCAATTCATCCACTTGCGCCCGAGACTTGGCATCCAAACCCAACTCTTGCAAGGCCGTGACCAAGGCATTCATCTCATGTGAGACTGGCGGTGGTGACACTGGTGGTGAAGGAGGTTTGGGCGGTGCACTTTTGGCGCAAGTTGGAACTGCAGCGACCGAGGTCTGCAATGGCTGGGGTGCAGGGCCGCCTGCAGGTTGGGCGGGCTCGGGTTGCTCAGCTGCTTGCTTGGGCGCAACGCTATCTGCAGGCTTGGCGTGCTCAGGTTGCGCTGGTTCTGGCACAGGGCTAGGCTTGGTGTGCTCAGGTTGCCCTGGCTTGGTGTGCTCAGGCGCTGGTTCTGGCGCAGGGCTAGCTGCAGGCTTGGTGTGCTCAGGCGCTGGTTCTGGCACAGGGCTAGCTGCAGATTGGGTGTGCTCAGGCTCGTTGAGCGCAGGGCTGGCTGCAGGCTGGGATTCTGGGTTTGGGGCCGGGGTGGACCGACGCAGTTCCTCCTCCAGCTCACGCTCAAATGTTTCCTGGTCAAATTTGTGTTCATTGGGCGGTGTCTGCTGGTGGGCTTGACTGCCGTCACTGGGGATGGCTGTGTTGGGCGGGGTCACCGCTGCATTGTCTGCTTTCTCCAACTCGCTTCCGAGCTTTGCCAAACCTCGTCGGTAGGTGTCGTGAGGCGGTGTTGCTGTGGCTGTCTCGGACGGAGGGACAGTGGGCATGGAAGGGGGGCGCGGCTGGGGGTACGCCCAAGCTCGCACTGCTTTCTGAGCGCTTCACGACCTCATGCTTAACAAGCTCATGCTTGGGTGGCGGAATTGGCTCCTGTGGGCCCTGGCTCCCCGAGGCATCGGTTTTGGGAGGGGGGCGGGGTTTGGTTCCGAAAACGGTGCCAAAACTGGCAGTATTTTTTCTTTGTGTAAGGCGACAGCACTGGCAAGGCATCTGGGTCTTCACTTTTCTTTCTTTTCTGCGAGCGGGCAGCTGCAGGCCCCGCTCCATCTGGTGCGATGCTCAAATTCTGGGCTGCCAAGACATCAAGTCCCCGGTCAAGCGTGGATCCTCTGTGGTAGGCTCGCGGTTCGGCTGGCAGAGTGACCGGAACATCCTCTGGCCGGTGGCTGGTGGCCAACACAGCGGCTGACACATCACTGGTTTGCATGGAGCGGGAGACCATCGCTTCATCCGAGCTGTCGGTGAACGATGCCCCATGGGCCAACATCGAAGCACTTTGAAGGAGCTGACTCTCCGATGCCACTTGCGTTTCATCTTCTGGCAAAGGTAAGGTTGGGGCGGCGCCTGCGGGGTCTGGAGTGGCTGGTTCCACTGCTGGTGTTTCTTTGTTTGAGAGCGGTACATCAACTGGGCTGGCTATTGGCGTGCCTGCAGAGCTGGTGGCTGCTGGTGTTGGAGTTACACTGGTCACAGGTGTTGTGGTTGAAGGCGTGGTAGAGCCCCCACCCCCCCCACCACTCTCTCCTTTCAAAGCCATCCTTGGCTCAGAGAGTTTTTCTTTTGTTAATGCGGTACAGTAAAAATGGAATCAACGCATGAACCAAGGGGCAGTTTTGCTTGGATCGACGCTTTCTGATCGGGTGTTAAACTGTCCAGCTTCATTCTCGCATCAACTTGGCGAGCCAGCTCCTGAACAAAGAGCACTATGAATAGTTAGCAACAAACATCATTCACAAATGTGGGTGGTGTGGCCACTACGATACACACAGCCATGCGTCAGCCACGTACTCTGGAGTCAAAGTAGGCCCCGTGGTCTTCTTTTTGGGCGCCATGGCCACAAACCAAAGCTGCAATGCACGGACACTAGAGGCGCTGCTTGAAATTAGAAACCGAGACGCCAGGACAAAAATCCACCTGACACCAAAAAAAATTGAGCAGACCATGATCCCAAGCATACCACCAAGAACCCCTAAGTTCGACGCAAATCGACGGGTTTCGACGGCCTTCGACGCTAGGGCCTCAATCCTTAAAAAAAGTTGATTTTGCTAAAAAAAAACCATTCACAGCAACGACAAACTCGTGACTGCACTAAGTTCACCCAAGTTTTTCACCCAAGTGTGTCTCCAAGTAGCTTCAACACATCAGCTAGAAACAAATCTAGATCAAACCCGAAGCTTGTTTCACAAGCCAAACCCCAGAGGATCGTTACACACCTCTTGAATCAAACACTTCGCGTGGCATGTTCCAGCATGTTCCACGGCGTCCCTCTAATTTCCAGAGTCAAAGCCAGTCACGCGGCCAATCGGTGGGCAACTTCAAGGCGCAACATTTTTTGAGATAGTCCGCCACATCATACAGCAAGGCCTGAGTTCACTGTCTCACATATCCACCTTCCCTTCAACAAGAAAACGGAGAACGCGTTGGAAACATTGTGGCGGGTGTTGCTGGAAGACTACCGCGCCACTGTCCCAAGGACATGTTATTGACACGCCAGCGCTTGATGCGACCCTTGGCGTTTAAAGAGTGGAGGCAAGTCGCATCTTCTTGCCAGTCGATGGGGTGACTGAAGAGGAGGGCAATGTTTCGGGCCTGGCCAAAGCACATTAAGAGCTAGGAAGAGGCAACCTTGAAAAATGGGTTAGCCATTTTTGAGAAAAACGTGAACCCAAATGAAGCCATGCAACGCCTGGCATGAAGACACCCGTGGGGGCCCACAACCACTTGCATTCACAAGTCAGAAAAATCTTTGGTAATTGCCTTTCTCATTTCAAGTGTCCTCCGGAAACATTTTGTGGGTTAAGTACTAAGGGGGCCCCAAAATCAAGCATGTTTGACAAGATTGACCGGTCACATGTGAACTGTTTCTCACGCCACGTCCGAGGAGGCCTCATCGTACCGTTCTCCACACACTTCGAACATGGGTGGCAGAAGCTCGGCAAACTGGCACCCGTGGCAGATTTCCTGGGCCAAGCCAACCGCTGGCAAACGCTATCAATAAAGGACATTTGGGGGGAGCGCCAAACACCTTCCAAAGTTAAGGATTGAAAAAGGGTACCCTCCAGCAAGTGTGGTTTCATACAATTTACGGCCATTTTCATCCCTGACTTGAAACGGCCTGGTGGTTCTCAGGGTGGGCGCATTGTGCGCAATGTTTCCAGGGTAACCATATTACATCATATTACATATAATTCTTGGGATGAACTTCGACGAGACATGCGTAAAGTTGGTTGACAAGCGGTGGTCCCGCTCAGAACCCGCTTCACTTCACCTCTAGTTGTTCTTTTGGCACATGTGTTGAGGACAATTTCAAGGCGTGCCTACCGCACTCCAAACAATATTCAATTTGAACACCAGGGCTCGTTGCGAGGCATTGCTTCCTTGCAACCGCGAAGCCAAGAATCCACCGCCGCAGCGGCAAATTCTGGAGTGTATTCCCTAAGTGAGTGCCCAAGAAAATAAAGAAAAGATCCTGGTCACAACGTGTATGTTCCACAAGTTTATGGGTTCCAAAAAAACGTCTTGGAGCTGACAGATCGCTTGATCTGAGGAACTGTGTGCTCTTCAAGGCATCCTTCATGCCAGTGACTCGCACGCGGCCATCGACCTGATGAGCGCACGGTCGCTGACAAGGTCAGTGCAGCGTGTCAAACATGATCTCGAGGTTTCCGTATACTTCTAGGTCTATATTAATTAGAGTCATATGCAACATTCTAATCCCACCGTATTCTGATTGTGTAGACCTCACTGGGACAAGTGGCAATAGTCTTTTTGACTAACTTCTTGTTCGAAGACGGTGTGCTCGGTTTAGATTGGGGCGGCCTGCTGGAGAGCAAAGCCTCGGCCAGGACATGCCACGGGGAATGGTGCAACTCAAGGTTCAGAACACTTGTAAACATAAGCCCTACGAATCTAGCTATGAGCAAAGTTCCGTTTGTTTTACACCAGTGGTCGCCTTGATTTGCACGACCTTGCTTGATTGAACCCAGCAGCAGCGAAGCATCGGTGGTTGGCAAACAGGTGAGTTGGCTTCGATGTTGGAGCTGCGAACCACTGCATCTTAATCGCTACACGGTAGACCTTGTGTGATGTGAGAGGTGGCAAATTAAGCTAATCAGAAGCAGTGCGACCGGCAATTAATGACAATTATGACTGACTAGTGGCTGCTTTCTTTTTCAAGCAGAGTTAAACAGAATCATTTGACACCACTATCGGTCGAGCTGCGTGCGTCTCTCGCGCCAGCTCCCTGAAACGGTCAGTAATCTGTAGGCCTTGCGGTCGCTTAGGTTGCTCAATAACCGTATAGTGGCCAAGTGCCCTGCTGAACCTGTAAAGAAGCAGCGTCCTTCGAGTTCAACAACTACTTGACCCCACCTTGAAAAGACATAGAAGACCAACAAGCATGTTCAACGCATGCTTTTCCAGCAGTATACTGTGGCATGCAACAGGCTTTGCATATAGTATAGGCTTTTGGGTGTTCATGGATCCACATTCGAAAAGGTTGCTTGGTTGGAAATCAAAGGGAGAATGGTCTAGCAGAAGTTTCCCAGGTGAAATGATCTGAGTTGTTTGGGCACAGGTCTCCTGATGAAAGCATTCGCTTCGGGCAAAACAACATCTTGGCGCTGAAGGACTTGTGCTATGGGCTGAAATACACAACGAGGGTGATGTCAACGTGGTTGTTTTGAAATGTCATGGTGGGGATCGCTCGATGTAAAGTAATTGTTTTGCGGGGTCCGTATACGCAAGCCAGTCCTTTGCTTATGAACAAACGCGGAGATTCAGAAAAACCCTGTCCTTTTTGATAAAAGGTTGCCCACCAGCACGCTTGGCACGGGCAAGCCCTCTGGAAGCAACCATCCACGCCCCGAAGTCCATTGGTTCACCCAAGAGTAGCTTGAACCTTGTCTACCCATGCCCACTCAAGTTTTTTAGACAATCAAACTCTTAAAGCAAGAGTGCAGACGCTGTTTTGAGTTCAAGAGTTTCACCGCTTTATTTCCATGGTCAACTGCGCAATCGTGTTTCCACGGTTCTTTCCTATCAGCGTTGTTTGTGCACAAAAACGACAAAACCTCTTGATGAAAAACACCAGGCCACAAACAGGAGCGTACAGCACCAGACCATGCCGTCGCACACGTCGCACGCATATCAAAGCCAATCTAGATGACACATGATGACACGCTTTTCCATTCAAAGCGGCTTTCATCATAAGAAACAATAACAAAACAAACCCGCACACAGCTCACACCCCTTTGCAAAATGCGACCACAGAGCGACGCGCGCAGGTTTCAGGCAAGGAACATGAACCCTGCGCTTGATGTGAGATCAAGTGCATCAGACATTGCAACGTCGAAGCCGCGAGATTGGAAGCCCCGAGCTTGGCATTCATTGACTATTGCCTGAGCACGGACACATCAACAGGACAGCTTCACCCACTATTTTCAGACTCCAAATCTCACACAAGCGCAATTGTACGACTTCATACAACGTCAGCCTGAACGCCGGCAAAGATCTCCGCGCTGTCTATGTCCCCTATGTTTGGAGCCTTACATCGATCCATCACTGCCTTTAGCTGTCAATTGAGGCAATTGCGCGTTCAAGTTTTTTGCCACTCAAAAGTCTGCATACAGGGCACGACCGTCGATGTGTAGGCAAGAAGAAAGATAATGCAAACAAGTGCCCGGGGCCTAGGTGTGCCACATTGCTTGAACACGGACTCAAAATTTTCTAGGCCCCAAATAGATAGAAAAGCAGATGCCCACTAAAACTGTATTGGAAATGGTTTCTATCTATTTTAGGATTAACTTGATACATCTCCAATAAGAGCTTAGTATATATATATATATATACGTACATAGTTTTCCTTTCAACCATGGCGTATGAGCCCCGCGCAAATTGGCCTGCAGCATGTTGCCCACGTTCGGACGCGGCCCAAAACGAGTACTTCCCTCCATCATCGTACTGGACCGCACTGGAAACCAAAAGCGGCTGAGATTGCACAGAAAAATCATCGAACGACTGCCAGACATGAAGTCTAAACGCGCCCGCACTGATTTGCCTCCCCAAAAAGGCAGGAGAGTTTTTTGGTCTTTGACTTGAACTTGCCCGGTGGCGTGGGGTGTTCTGTTCAAAACGTGACACGACTAAGGCTGTCGGAGTTTCGAAAGGTTACATCTCCAACCTACGCTTCTTGCGTTCGCCCTCGCTCATGTTGTCCAACAATGCCCTGGGCGCATCCCGGGCCGCGCTCAAAAGCAAAACAGACATGCGCAGTTCGACGCTGATCAAAACATGACAGAAGTACATAAGTTCACAGTTTTAACACCGGTGGACATCCATGATAT